CTGCCAAGCCAACAAACCGGTAACACATTCTGAGCCATTGCAAATGGCTAAGCTTCCTGGAAATGCCTGGCAAGAGGTCACTGCTGATTTCTATGGTCCTCTACAAACAGGTGAATATATGCTTGTCATCATAGATTAATATTCTCACTACCCATTGGTAGAAGTTCTTCATTCCATCACAGGAAATTATGTGATCCCTGTGATGGATAAAGTTTTCTCAATGTTTGGCATTCCAAAAGTTGAGAAGACGGACAATGGACCTCCCTTTAACAGCGATCATTTCAGCAAATTTGCAGAGTACCTTGGATTCCGTCATCGTAAAATCACACCATTCTGGCCACAGGCAAATTGTTCAGCTGGACGATTCATGCAGACGCTGGGCAAAGCGCTCTGCGTTGCAGGTACCAAACAAATTTCATAGAGACAGCAGCTGTTCATCTTTCTAAGGGGATATTGTGTGACACCACATAGCACTACCAACACATCCCCAGCTAAGTTGATGTTTCGCCGCAAGATACACACAAACATCCCAAACCTAACTACAGAAACACCTGTTGCATCTGATCATGATCTGCAAAAAAGAGACAGAGCAGCCAAAGCAAAGGAAATCCTTTCACACTCTACAGATTGGCGACCAAGTACTGCACCGGCAGCCCAAACAACAAACTCACAACACCCTACAATGCTGTCCCACACACTGTAATCATGACCAAAGGCTCCATGATTACAGCTGCACGAGGTAGTCATTCCATCACTCAGAACTCGTCATTCTTCAAGAGATTCCTTCCTCAGAACGTTGTGCCATGTGAGCATAGTAATGATCTTCCACAAATTGTGACACCACCAAGATACCCAAATCGGAGAAACAGACCATTAGAAGTAGTACTTCAAAAATCTGGACTCAATAGTTGATGTCAAACACTGAGTAACCCAACCTATATCATTTAAATACCAGTCTTGAAGTAACTTTCATATTGATGTTTTTCTGTGTTTAGAGTAAGTTTTTTTCTGAAAGATGCGCTGTTTAAAAAGAGAGAGAGAACCTTGACAGTTGAGTCAGTTGAGGGTGGAAGAGAGCGCTGTACATTCACTCCCCCCACCTACAATTCCTGCCGGACCTGAGACTCGAACTTGCAACCTTCGGGTTACAAGTCCGACTCTCTAACCCAGTGGTTCCCAACCCTGGTCCTGGAGGCACCCCAACACTGCACGTTTTGCATGTCTCCTTAATCAAACACACCTGATTCAGGTCATCAGCTCATTAGTAGAGACTCCAAGACCTGAAAATGGTGCGTCAGAGAAAGGAGACATGCAAAATGTGCTGTGTTGGGGTGCCTCCAGGACCAGGGTTGGGAACCACTGCTCTAACCTTTTCTATATTAGATCCCTTTCTACAAAGCGCATTTTGTAAATGAAATGATCACAGATCATAACTTAGATGTGCTCTGTTTGACAGAAATTTGCTAAAACCAGATGATTACATTATTTTAAATGAGTCTACCCCCAAGATTACTGTTATAAACATGACCCGCGTCCAAAAGGTAAATGGGGAGGTGTTGCTACAATTTATAGTAATATTTTCAGTATTTCTCAGAGATCTGGTTTCAAGTATAACTTGTTTGAAGTAATGGTGATTCATATAACATTACCCAGATAAACAAGTGTTAATGATAAATCCCCTGTGACGTTTGTACTGGCTACTACAGGGTACCATACAGACTTTATGGACAGAGTTAGTGCTGGCTGCAGATAAAGTCTTAATTGTTTATGATTTTAATATCCATGTAGATAATGAAAAAGATGCATTGGGATCAGCATTTATAGACATTCTGAACTCCATTGGGGTAGACAACACGTGTCAGGACCTACTCACTGTCGTAATCATACTCTAGATTTATTACTGTCACATGGAATTGATATTAATGGTGTTGAAATTCTGCAGCTAATCTCATTACCTAATCTCATGTATACTCCATATAGCTAAAGCTGCAAATGTATCTCCTTGTTACAATTATGGTAGAACCATCATATCTACAACAAAAGACTGCTTTGTTAATAATCTTCCTGACTTGTCCTAACATTTATAAAACCACCTCTAGATAAACATCATCATGAAAATCTCGACAAAGTTTTTTTTTCTAAAAACAAAGCACAGTTTATTAAACATTCAGTAACAAACAAACAGCCCATATGAATCAAGAAAAACAATATTTCTGCTTTTGTTAGCAAATATTACACACAGGCTTCTATACAATGCTATTGCAGGGGTATATGCGTGAAGTAGAGATGTAAAGAGCAGATCTGGCTTTATTCTTCGGAGATCTCCTGAGATGCTTTTTTCAAAGGAACTAGTTTGGGTGACAGCTACTGTTAAAACAGAAATTGAATCATGTTTGGGTTATTTTTATGTTGGTAGTTTTAGATGTGCTGATATGAAACTAGGCCCAGATATTACAGAGGTTATTAATGCAGAGCAGAAGCTTTATACAGCAGGAGATGATGAGGTTAAACATGAGATGTGACGATTGTCCCAATGCAGTATTCACAGGAGTGTCATGCTGTGTTGTCAAGTATAATACAGTATAGTATAATAAAAATAGTACACTTCTGTGTGATAATTCACTGGCCATCACTAAACCTGTCTATTAGGCTTCCTTTTTTTGTATTGATGGTAAATGTGTGTATTTAGAGTGTATTCACTGATACGGTCACATGATCAATTGTAGGCGATTATGAACTATGTGCGTCTGGCCTGTCAAAGCCAATATATGGCTGCTGTAACAATTTGACATATTACACCTCTGACTGCACATACAACATACAGAGCAATTATATAGTCAAACATAAATGTATAACACATGAAATACCTGAACATTCCTACAATACATAAATGTGTTTAAAAAATAATAAATTAAACAAGAAATTGGGTTTAAGGCTTTTGGGGTTTCTTCCTGGACACTGTGTGGCTATTTAAATAAATATATTAATACCATTTATAATATTATTACCATTCAAAAGTTTGTTTGAGTTGGAGGTTTTTTTTCTTCTTTCTTTTAAATAAATTAATATGTATTGTTTGTTGGGGGGGGGGGGGGAAAAAAACGTTTTCTGCATCACAAAAAAGAAAAAAGGTTTCGGTAGTCGGCAAATTGTTGTAATTTCAGTTATTAAACTCAGACAAACAAGAAAACAACACTCTGTTCAATTCATATTTTTCTGTTTTTAGACCTCGTTATGCCTAATGACATCAATTATGACACTCATGACCCCATACTATGAAAACTGAATACATTACAGGTTAAATGGTGGATGGTCAGTTATTTCTACATGCAGGTATTTGTACAATAATTCTTACCTGTCAAATATTCTACATTCTTTCAATTAATGAATCTGTGAAAAATATATCTGCTCTAAGATGATGGATAACTACATTTCTTTTCACATCCAATCGTCAACCATCATTTATTTACTCTCATGTTGCTCCAAACCCGTATTTGAATTTGAAATCGAATGAGCACTGATGTATACCGAGCGGTTAAATGGTGGATGGTCAGTTATTTCTACATGCAGGTATTTGTACAATAATTCTTACCTGTCAAATATTCTACATTCTTTCAATTAATGTATCTGTGAAAAATATATCTGCTCTAAGATGATGGATAACTACATTTCTTTTCACATCCAATCGTCAACCATCATTTATTTACTCTCATGTTGCTCCAAACCCGTATTTGAATTTGAAATCGAAAGAGCACTGATGTATACCGAGCTAAACGAATCATTAAATTGAGGAATTGAATGTTCTGTATCTTCCCACTGGAGCTCTAAAATAACATTTGAACTTCCACATATTAAAATTGGCATGTTGCAAATTGGTTATGAGAAATGAGACAACCAAAGTCATCCAGCATTATAGATGTCAAACCTGATGTGCCATATTTGAATATATGTGAACACAAATGAGATTTGAGAGCTTTTTCGATTTACTTTCACTGAATGGAAAAGAGCAGCATGTACATTCATCAAACAAATCTCTTTTTGTTTTAGCACACCTTACGAGTCTGGAACAGCACAAGTAAGTGATGGCAGAATTGTTGTTTTTGGTTAAAGTTTTCCTGTAAAAGCCCTCAATACAACTGAACATACAACAACACCCACCTACTGGTCTGTTTAGGACTCTTAAAGTTCCAAAACACATCACCCTAAGCCTTAATGTGACATTCACTGGTGTTACTACTCCTAACTCTGTGATTCCCACAATTCCTGTCTACTTGTAGTTTCTCAATCTATTAATCACTAAAGCTCTCAAAAGTGTTGAACTCTCTGGGCAACAAGTCATAATGGAGCAGGCCAAGAAATGCTCCAGGAAACACTGTGTACAGTAAGTGCACATTCCAAATGAAATTATATAATGTAAATGACATCTAATGTTGAAGTACAGCATGTAACATGCTAGAATCTCTTTCCTCCGGCCCATGTTCTCCTCTCATAAGGTGTGTCCCATACTGCTGCTGACCAGTCCTTTAACGTTTGTGACAGGTCTGACATCATGCAGCTGTTTGCGGCGGTCTATAAACGCAGCGAGTCTGACAGTGTCCAGCGGTGTTTTGGAGTAATCTCCACTATGAGCGCTGACCCACGGGTGCTGCAGACATACCACCTACTGGTCTGTTTAGGACTCTTAAAGTTCCAAAACACATCACCCTAAGCCTTAATGTGACATTCACTGGTGTTACTACTCCTAACTCTGCGATTCCCACAATTCCTGTCTACTTGTAGTTTCTCAATCTATTAATCACTAAAGCTCTCAAAAGTGTTGAACTCCCTGGGCAACAAGTCATAATGGAGCAGGCCAAGAAATGCTCCAGGAAACACTGTGTACAGTAAGTGCACATTCCAAATGAAATTATATAATGTAAATGACATCTAATGTTGAAGTACAGCATGTAACATGCTAGAATCTCTTTCCTCCGGCCCATGTTCTCCTCTCATAAGGTGTGTCACATACTGCTGCTGACCAGTCCTTTAACGTTTGTGACAGGTCTGACATCATGCAGCTGTTTGCGACGGTCTATAAACGCAGCGAGTCTGACAGTGTCCAGCGGTGTTTTGGAGTAATCTCCACTATGAGCGCTGACCCACGGGTGCTGCAGACATGAGAACGCCACCTTCTCCTCCATCAGCTCATCGTGAGCCACCAGATAGTCCAGCAGACGCCCGTCCTCAACACTGAACACATATAAATGTGATCATATCATTGCACATCATTTTTAAAAATAAGTTCCATTTGAGTGTGTGTGTGTGTGTGTGTGTGTGGAAAATGAGATTCCAGGAGGAGAATATTCATTCTGTTCCATGCAGCAAAACATACCAACATTTTTGTATTTTTTACTGAATATTAACTGAATTTATTTAGAAAATGCTTAGTTGAGCTCAACTGCCCTTCTATAGAATGCTGCAGGGATGATGGTCATGTCTGTAGGTCATTCCGGAAGTTAGAAGTACCCTGGTTCCTTTGACAAAAAGTCAAAATAGGCTTTTTTTCAGCTGGTTTTTAGAGCACTGCTGCATGGCTACTAAGTGCACTAGTGGTTGCTAGAGCATTGCTATGCAAGTTGTTCTGCTTCGGATAAGTGTCTGCTAAAGTACTACTTTCCAGTAAATAAGCTGTAAGTATCTGTTTGCATGCTGATGTGCTGGTATGATATTTCACCTTGAGGTCCAGGTGAGCTACTCTGCATGTGTGCAGGTGCTGCAGAGCTTCCAGTATGTCTTTAATGAAGAACGCCACCTTCTCCTCCATCAGCTCATCGTGAGCCACCAGATAGTCCAGCAGACGCCCGTCCTCAACACTGAACACATATAAATATGATCATATCGTTGCACATCATTTTTAAAAATAAGTTCCATTTGAGTGTGTGTGTGTGTGTGTGGAAAATGAGATTCCAGGAGGAGAATATTCATTCTGTTCCATGCAGCAAAACATACCAACATTTTTGTCTTTTTTACTGAATATTAACTGAATTTATTTAGAAAATGCTTAGTTGAGCTCAACTGCCCTTCTATAGAATGCTGCAGGGATGATGGTCATGTCTGTAGGTCATTCCGGAAGTTAGAAGTACCCTGGTTCCTTTGACAAAAAGTCAAAATAGGCTTTTTTTCTCTCTCTCTCTGTTGGCTTTTGGATAATTGCAAAAAATAAACTGGTCTAAGCTCTGATTCTTACACATTTTGTTCAGAAGATAATTCATTTCTGGCCCAGTTTCTAATCGCCACATTACTGTTGGCCCATAATTACTTATTCATAATTTACTCACAGCTCAAGAACCAGTATGTAGGCCTTGGGCGACTCGTAGGTACCAAGCAACGCCACCAGCTGCGGATGCTGGACGTGACGCTGGATATCGGCCTCATGGGCTACCTGGTCTTTCTTCTGCATCTTCTTATTGACAAATTTCACAGCAACCTCCTTCTTACTGGCCTTACTGAGACACTTCCTCACCACTGAGAAACGACCCCTAAAAACAGAAAACATATGAGTCAGCTGAGTTTGTTACTGACAGGACAGTCAGCCTTTTAATGAAGGTAATATACAGTATATATATATATATATCTTTACCGTCCAATTTCACACAATTCTGTGAATGCAGATTCAAAGTTGTCTTTCCACTGGATTCCAGTGCCGTCATAAGTTGAGGCTTCATAAAAGAGAGAAAAAAAATAGTTATAAGAAATGTGTTTGGAACAATTACACTATAACTCTATTCCAAAACCTAGTGCTGCCTACCTATATACACAGAACAATTTCAGACAATAATTTATAGGCATCATAGGTGTGCTTCCAAAACACTAAGGCAGCATGTTTTTTTTTTTTTTTCTAGGATACTTTATTTTGGTTAAAATGGAAGGCTAGAATGGATTTTTAAATTAAATTAAAACTACTCAAGCATCTAAAATACAGGTACGTTTTATTAATAATGGCACAGCTGATGGCATCGATGGCAGCCTGAGTGGTGGGTTAGTGAACTCTGTAGGATATCTAAGAGTTTTCACCCAAAAATGAACAATTGTCATCACTTAATCGTAGTTATGTCATTATAAATCTTCACAAATTTCTACTTTGGGGTTATTCTTGGTTAATAAACGTACTTTTGTTCAACGTTATGTTTGTTCTTGATGATGCCCTTTGGCTTTATTATTAAATTATTAATTTATACAATTAATAATGAGTTTACATATGCCAAAATTGACATGAATACATATTTACAAATGTTTTAAAAGTCTATATATATACAATATTGAACAAACCGCAATACACTGCTTCCATGGATAGACTACTCTAGATTCATGTACTTTCTAAACTGATGCACTTTCAAGAGAATGCATTTCGGTTATGATCCTGTAGAAGACTGCTACCTTGACAGGAAGGCAGTTCAATTGGGACAAGCACTTAAGTTTGATTTGATTGTATTGACCTGTGCTAGGTAATGTCACCATGTTTGAGGGTTCACTGGGTGGGCTGATGCCCCAGGGGTTACTGGCACTGACTCTGAACTGATAATGGCCACCAGGAATCAGATTCTCAATCTTCACACACACGTCTGCAGTGGAGACCACCGACTGCTGCCACACCAGAGAGTCTGCACACAAATACAGACACACAAACGTCAACCTGGATACACAAAATAACAGATGTAGTTCCCTTTCATGGGAACTTCGAACTGCGTCCTCTAGGGGTCGCTATGGGGAACGCCTCGTCGTGACCCGTGTCTGAAGCATACATTGAAAAAACACCAACTCGTTGGCCGGCGACAGCCATGACGTCACTACCGGTGCGACTCCAGTATAAATCGGCGCCGGGAGCTACACATCATTCTCTTCTTCGTCTTCATTGACTGTTCTGTTTGAAGCGTGCATTTTCAAGGAAAAAGTAAGAGCTATCTATTTATTATGCGTTCCCCATAGCGACCCCTAGAGGACACACAAATTCGTTCCCTACTCAGGGAACCATGGTTACATAAGTAACCTGAGACGTTTTTCTTCTAGTGTTTCAGTTAACAGACATTATGGGGTTCAGGATGAATGAACAGAATGACACATTCATACATCATAAGATTAATTTTGCAGACAGAGTAATATGTATGGATCTGGATAAAGGTGCTACATTTTGTACTTCTGTGGAAACGCGTTACCTTTTTTCTTAAGTCAGTAGTCTACTTATTTAGTAAGTTTACTAATTAGTCAAAGTTTCCTGCACTAAAATAATGTTAGCCAAAGTTTAATACACTGAAAATAGTATTATTTTTTTTAATTCAGCGATGCATTGAACAGTTTTCAAGCAGCATAACTGTTTTCAGCATTGATAATAATCAGAAATGTTTCTTGAGCACCAAATCAGTATATTAGAATGATTTCTGAAGGATCATGTGACACTGAAGACTGGAGGAATGATGCTGAAAATTCAGCTTTGCCATAACAGGAACAAGTTCCATTTCAAAATACAGTTATTTGAAATTAGTAATACTATTTTACATGTTTAACCATGTTTTTGATCACATAAATGCAGCCTTGGTAAGCATAAAATACGGAATATAGAATAGTTGATGATATGAAAATGTGATATGTTAATTAGCTTACAGTTATGAGAGCACAGAATCTGAACGAGCTCTTTAGTTTCAAGCAGGGTTGTTGTTGAGGGTTGAGGAGGAATGTAAATGTTTGATAGTGAGCCAATTGTATTTCTACATTGCATTTTTACTGTTTCAAGTTAGTAAAATTAGTAGTTTTCCACTGCATTACCTCTTTAAGTGTTTCTGACTATGCTGTCTGTTTTGAGATGCTGTTTGGCTATGCTGAGACTTGGATTTTACAGCTGTGTAAGTGTTTATACCTTCCTGCCTGTATTCCACACTGTAGCTGGAGATGGCAGAGTTGCCTGAGCTGGCTGGAGGAAGCCAGTGGACAATCACTGCGGTGCTGCTGGCTTCTTGTGCCACAGGACGAGCAGGGGCTGCTGGGATACCTGCACCAGAGAACATCTGGACATTAAAACATGTGGGAAGGTGATTTGTGCAATACCCGTCTTTATTCCTTTGTTTCATTTACCTTGTACTTTAATCGATGCAGATGAGGAGGCAGTGCCATGATCATTCACAGCCACACACGTGTAGATGCCAGTGTCCTGAGGCATTAGATTACAGATCTTCAACACTATATTACCCGATTCCCTACATGGGCACAGCACAGAGAGAGAGAGAGAGAGAGAGAATCAAATGACACAACAATCATTTTATAAATCTTTAATAAAGCAATTGTATTTACAAATATATTTACATTCAAGTTTAATAGAATAGTAATATCCTTAAGGATGTCATTTAATACAATTAAATGACATTTAATAACATTTAAAGACGATTGTTGTTCCTTATGCTATTTATTTATTTATTTTATTTTTTTTGCTCAAATAGTTAATACAATAATGTGCATAATACAGTTATGTTTTTCTATTTACTAAAGCAAAAAAAAAGTTCATAATCCCCCAAGTGAAAACCTATTGCCCTCTTAAATATAAAATCTGGTTGTGCAGCCTATTGTCACGAGTGCCTACTGTGTTGGAGTGAGGAACGAGGAGCACGTAGGAGAATCACCATAATAACAGTCTTTATTGATCCAAACCACAAGGAACACACATGTAGCACCGGGGATTGACGTTTAACACTGGACACAGGAAAACACAGGGCTTAAGTACCAGGAACTATACGAGAAACAGCTGAATCAGATAGAACACAATCAACACGAGGAGAAACTGGGTCACGGGAGCACAACACAAGACAGGAACACAATGGCAGTCCATGGGATGTGACATTACCTCCCCCTACTGGAAGGCGCGTCCACGCGCCTCATAACTTCCAACGGGGAGGGGGGCGCTCTGGAGGCCTCTATGGACAGGCTTACACAGGACGGAAGGTCTCCGGGGTGGTACCCGTTCAAGGGGCCATGAGCGGAGCAGGCAGACTAGGGAGCCATGGCGGAGCAGGCAGACTAGGGAGCCATGGCAGACCAGGCAGCTTGGGGAGCCATGGCAGGGCGGCCTCCGTGGCCTTGGCCTCGGCACTCGTCCCGTCCTCTATGTCCTATAGCCCCCCCAAAAAAAATTCCTTGGGGGAAATTTTGGGTTCTGAGGCCCTCCGTGGTCCAGGCTTAGGAACAGCGGCCCTCCCTGGGTTTGAATCCAGATCTGTGGCCATCCCTGGGCCAGAGGTGGGAATAGGAGCCCTCTCTGGGCTGGACTTGGGAAAAAAGTCTCTCTCTGGGCTGGACTGGGGAACAGGAGCCCTTTCTGGGCAGGACGTAGGAACAGGAGCCCTCTCTAGGCTTAACTTGGGAACAGGAGCCCTCTCTGAGCTGGACGTGGGAGCAGGAGCCCTCTCTAGGCTTAACTTGGGAACAGGAGCCCTCTCTGGGCTAAACTCAGGAACTGGAGCCCTCCCTGGGTTCGACGTGGGAACAGCAGCCCTCTTTTGACTCAGGACTGGGGCTAGAGCCATGACTTGACTCTGATCAGGGGCTGGAGCTAACACTGGAGCGGACTCAAGGGATGGAGCCGACACTGGACGCTGGAGCTGCCGGCAGACTTGACAATGGAGCGGCCGGCTGGCTTGACTTTGGAGCGGCTGGCGGGCTTGACTGCGAAGCGGTTCTGGATTGGGGCCGGATGCTCTCCAGAGGAACCCTTCCCTCCAGCATAGACCAGTGGTGTCTGGGAGGTCGGCGGTGCGATGGTAATTGGCCCCGATCCAGAACAAAGAATTCAGTGTGGCGTCGTCCAATGCCGTCAAGACGGCGAGCCCACAGAATTCCCTGGCATACTACACAAAAGGAAGATCCTTGCAGGCTAGGGCGGCGAATCTTGCGGCGATCTCCATTTGTATGTTTTTAGGTCCAGTGTTCTGTCACGAGTGCCTACTGTGTTGGAGCGAGGAATGAGGAGCACGTAGGAGAATCACCATAATAACAGTTTTTATTTATCCAAACCACAAGGAACACGCACGTAGCACCAGGGATTGACGTTTAACATTGGACACAGGAAAACACAGGGCTTAAGTACCAGGAACTAAACGAGGAAATAAATGAGACACAGCTGAATCAGATAGAACACAATCAACATGAGGAGAAACTGGGTCACGGGGAGCACATGGGGAGCAAAACACAAGACAGGAACACAGGGGCAGTCCATGGGCGTGACACCTATAGGCAGTAATAACTGCAACTCAATCCTTCTGATAAGTAGAGATCAGTCTATCACTGGTTGAATTTTGGCCCTCTCTTCTTTGCAGATCTGCTTTTTTCTACCACATTGAAGGGGTTTCGAGCATGAAATGCCCATTTAAGGTCCTGCTCTCAAGTCAGGACTTTGAATAGGCCACTCCAACATGAGGAGAAACTGGGTCACGGGGAGCACATGGGGAGCAAAACACAAGACAGGAACACAGGGGCAGTCCATGGGCGTGACACCTATAGGCAGTAATAACTGCAACTCAACCCTTCTGATAAGTAGAGATCAGTCTTTCACATCACTGGTTGAATTTTGGCCCTCTCTTCTTTGCAGATCTGCTTTTTTCTACCACATTGAAGGGGTTTCGAGCATGAAATGCCCATTTAAGGTCCTGCTCTCAAGTCAGGACTTTGAATAGGCCACTCCAATATTTATTTATTTATTTATTTATTTTTAGCCATTCATAGGTGGACTTTCTCCTATGCTTTGAATGATTGCCTTGCTGCATAATTTGAGACTGGTAGATAGCAGAATTCATGTTTCCCTCAATTTTGGCAAGTTGCCCAAGCAAAGCATCTCCTGCCACCACCATGCTTGACCATAGGTATGATGTTTTTTTTTATGTTTCAACTTTTGACTCATCAATCCACAAAACATTCTCCCAAAAGGTCTTCTGCATTAGCAGTGGTTTTTGTCTCGCCATCATGGATGCCATTTTTGGCCAATGTTTTTTGGTTAGTGGAGTCATGAACAGTATGACCTTTACTGGTGCAAGAAAGGCCTCCAGTTCCTTTGATGTTGTCCTTGTGTCTTTTGTGATTTCCTTGATGAGTTTTCACTGTGCTTTTGAAGGAATTTCGGAAGGTCTGCCACTTCTGGATAGGTTTGCTAATGTGCTGATTTTTTTTCCCATTTGGAGATAATGGCTCTTACTGTGGTTCTTTGGAGACCAAGAGCCTTTGAAATAGCTTCAGTTACCTTCTTTCTCATCATTTTTTGGAATTTCTTTCACCTTTGGTATAGTGTGTTACTGGAAAAATACCATTCAACCAATTCAATGCTGTTGAAAAGATTTTCAAGGCTGGTAGTGATCAGGTCTGGTTGGGTCTAGTCCAGCTGGACACCGTTATGAATGCAGTTTCATAGATTTGGGAATTAGTAACTACAGGGGCAAACACATTTTCTCACAGACCCAGTCAGTTTTAGATAACTATTTTGCTGTAATAAGCAACATAATTTAAAAGCTGTGTTTTCCCTGGTTCCCTTTGTTAGATTTTGTTTTCATTTCTGAAGCTACTTATCTTTTTAGCATTGGGTGGGGATTGAAAATTTACAATCCAGGTGTTTTGTTTGTACATTGTTTTTGTATAGGTAGATTGAGAGCTACAGTCAATGGCACAGTGGCAAAGAAAAATACCCTGAGGAATCATGGGACAGTTACATAACAATGAGACTTACGAGGTTACATGGGTGCAGTTTTCTCACAGGACAAATACAGAAGACATGATCTGAACTTTAATGTAAAACATTTCTTTGTTCCTCAACACTTTCCCAAAGTCAAGCAGTCTCTTATACCCAAAGATTGCAAAATAGAACTTCAACATTTCACTACAGGACAGATTGTACCCAAAGCACTAGTGTTTCTTGGTTGTGATTGTAATTTGTGTTGTGACTGATTGTGGACTAGTACCTAATATTGATAGTGAATCGGTTATTGTTGACTAGCAGACTTTGATCGGGTCCTTTCAGGGTGATTGTGGGCTTGGGTCGAGCGCAGACTTTACAGCACAGAACCACTGTCTCCCCCAGAGCACACGCCACGTCCGCTAGAGGCGTCAGGAACTCCGGAGCCACTGCACATGTGTATATATATATATATATATATATATATATAGTACAAAGTCACTCTGATGGACACTGATTTTTATTTTCTCTTTCATTTCACTTCATTCAAGGAGATATTTAATTGGATTTCTAAAACAAGCTACAGGTGACATACTGTATGTATGATCACTCAACAATATATGCTAGTAGAAAATACAGACAAACGGAACATCACAGCATCTGTACATATTAATAAACTCACCCTCCTGGATGAAATTAGGATTCAGTAACTGTAAAACAGACAGGAGGAGTGTTAAAGGTGCATACTTCAAGCATTCTAGACTATCAGTCACATAAAGCACTGAATCTTTCTGCAAACACACACGCAGAAAGAGAAGAAGTTTTGTCAACAGAGGGCAGTACTTTCACATGTCATGATAGACACTGGCTGTATTTGAAATGACATACTATTAAAATATGGGAGAATTGTAAGTGTAGCATGTTAGTATGCCATTTCGAATTTCAGCCACTGAGTATGTTCAGAATAGCATACTAGCATACTAATAATACAATTTCTGATGTGCTGCTATTGTGTCAAATCCTGAATCCAGACCAAATACATCTGCCACAATGAGAAGTATACATCCAGAGCACACTGCTTGTGATTTCCAGAAACACAATGTTCTCTGATTGACCTTGGCGTGAATAATTAATAATATCAACTACAAATATCTTTTTTTTATTTGATTTGCAACACATAATATGGTGGCTGTCCACCTTTCAGTTAGCAAAAGCTTTCTGCTGTAGAGTAACCACAAAAAAGACTTTTATTTTGATTTCAGTAAATCCATCTTTTTTTTCAGTGCAGTATATACTGCCCAGTATGCAGTAAGCATTAAGATAGTATTTCACTCTGAACACTGCAAAATCTTTACACTGGGGTTAAGGCCCATTCACACCAAGAGCGATAATTATAAAGGTAACTAAACACAGCGGTGAGTGTTTTTATTGTTCATCGGGTGGGGGGTTTTGTTCCGAAAGTGATTTTATTTTAGCTCTGGCATGGACTTCCTTCATAAAACTAGAATGATTATTAAAACTTTATAGTTATAGTTATCATCCTTGGTGTGAAAAGCCCTTTATGCCAGTCACTCCACACGATTAGTTAAAATAATAACTTACCAACAACAACGTGCTCATGTAAAAAGAGGTTCAGATATTTCTTTAGATTAGAGCTTTAAAAAGCTTATCTATTTACTATTAAATTGAGTTTATTACAAAATTATAACATCAATAAATACAAAAATAAAAGCTTATTGGGCAGCATGCATTGAGATCAGCATCTCTACCTCCATACTAGTTTTGGGGTCTAGTTCATCCTCACACTCGGACTCATCTGAGCTGCGGGAATCCTGTGGTTTGGGTTGAGAGAGAACATTGTTACAGACTTACAGTACAGGAATACAGAGGGACGGAGAACTCCAGGCCAAAATGACAGGAATGTTTCAAATGAATTACTTATTAGTGTCATTAATCACAAAACTGGATGGCTACAAATTAAGAAAAAACAATTTTTATACTGTGGTATTTTACCAAAGCAAAATAATAATAATAATAATAAAACTTTATTAAACACATTTCACTTAAGACGCTGGGGTATATTTGTAGCAATAGCCAAAAATACATTGTATGGGTCAAAATTATAGATTTTTCTTTTATGCCAAAAATCATTAGGGTATTAAGTAAAGATCATGTTCCATGAAAATATTTAGTAAATGTCCTACTGTAAATATATAAAAACTTAATTTTTGATTAGTAATATGCATTGCTAAGAACTTCATTTGGACAACTTTAAAGGCGATTTTCTCAATATTTAGATTTTTTTTGCACTCTCAGATTCCAGATTTTCAAATAGTTATATCTCGGCCAAATATTGTCCTAACAAACCATAGATCAATGGAAAGCTTATTTATTATATGTATACATTTAATATACATTTATTATGACTGGTTTTGTGGTCCAGGGTCACATACAGGGTTAAAAAAAACACTACCCAACCTTTATATTTACAACACATAGTTGTATTCCTCTTAAATTGTTATCATTCAACTTTTCAATATCAAAATTGAAGAAAGAAAAAAAAGCTAACATTTGAAACATGTTTAGGACTGTCAGTATCATGCTGTCATTGGGCGAGTGACGTGTTCAGTGTTTATTTCCACACAGGTGAAGATGCAGCCCACACACACACACACACACACACACACACACCCTCATCCCTCTACTCACTTTCACAGTGACTTTGCTGCTGAGAATTTCCTTTGGCTTACGCAGTCCATTCTCAACTTTAATGTCACTTTTGAGGGGCGCACTGTCCTTCTCTGCACGCTTGCGAGCACGAAGCGTGTTCCACGAGAGAGATTTCCTGCCGTGTCAAAACATCAGGTTGTCAAACCCACACACGCTGGTGGAAATGCAAATCCAACAGCGAGAAAAAGCAACTTAAAGTGCTTGAGGGGGAAACAAATATTTCAGGAGGGAAATAGGGAGGTCCACAAAAAGAAAAAGCAAGATACTTGATACTGTTAAGCTATTTTTAACATTAGTAAAATGCATAGAGTATCTATCATCCAGTTCCATTTATAGAGACCTCAGAAAGTGTTTGGACATTAATGTCCACCATCAGACATAAGTGTGCTTGAATTGCACAAATATTTTATACCCAGTATTTCTGTATCACACAAGTATAATCTAGTACTGTTTTTTGTTATCATATTTAGTAGTTTGGGGTCAGTAAGATTTTTTTTTCCTAATTAATACTTTTATTCAACAAGGATTAATTAAATTGATCAAAAGTGACAGCAGAGACAATTCAAATAAATGCTGTTCTTTTGAACTTTCTCGTCATGAAAAAAATGTGTCTATCTATCTATCTAGATCTGTCTGTCTGTCTGTCTGTCTGTCTGTCTATCTATCTATCTATCTAGATCTGTCTGTCTGTCTGTCTGTCTGTCTGTCTATCTATCTATCTATCTAGATCTGTCTGTCTGTCTGTCTAGCTATCTGTCTGTCTGTCTATCTATCTATCTATCTATCTATCTATCTATCTATCTATCTATCTATCTATCTATCTATCTATATATCTACTGTCTCTCTGTCTGTCTATCTATCTATCTATCTATCTATCTATCTATCTATCTACTGTCTGTCTGTCTGTCTATATATCTGTCTATCTATCTATCTATTGTTTTTTTTTTTTTTTTCTGTCTGTCTGTCTGTCTGTCTGTCTGTCTATCTATCTACTGTCTGTCTATCTATCTATCTACTGTCTGTCTGTCTATCTATCTATCTACTGTCTGTCTGTCTATCTTCTGTCTGCCAACAGCGAGAAAAAGCAACTTAAAGTGCTTGAGGGGGAAACAAACATTTCAGGAGGGAAATAGGGAGGTCCACAAAAAGAAAAAGCAAGATACTCGATACTGTTAAGCTATTTTTAACATTAGTAAAATGCATAGAGTATCTATCATCCAGTTCCACTGTCTGTCTGTCTATCTATCTACTGTCTGTCTGTCTATCTATCTACTGTCTGTCTGTCTATCTATCTATCTACTGTCTGTCTGTCTATCTTCTGTCTGTGTCTGTCTATCTATCTACTGTCTGTCTATCTATTGTCTGTCTGTCTGTCTGTCTGTCTGTCGGTCGGTCTATCTATCGATCTATCTATCTGTCTGTCTGTCTATCTGTCTGTCTATCTATCTATCTATCTATCTACTGTCTGTCTGTCTGTCTATCTATCTTCTGTCTGTCTGTCTGTATATATATCTATCTATCTACTGTCTGTCTGTCTGTCTATCTATCTGTCTGTCTGTCTGTCTATCTTTCTGTCTCTTTTTTTTCTTTCTGTCTTTGTCTGTCTGTCTTTCTTTCTTTCTGTCATCTGTCCATCTTTTCTGTCTTTTGTCTGTCTGTCTGTCTGTATGTCTGTCTGTCTGTCTATCTATCTATCTATCTATTGTCTGTCTGTCTATCTTCTGTCTCTCTGTCTGTCTGTCTGTCTATCTATCTATTGTCTGTCTGTCTATCTTCTGTATGTCTGTCTGTCTGTCTATCTATCTATCTATCTATCTATCTATCTATCTATCTATCTATCTATCTATCGTCTGTCTGTCTGTCTGTCTATCTATCTACTGTCTGTCTGTCTATCTATCTATATATATATCTACTGTCTGTCTATCTATCTACTGTCTGTCTATCTGTCTATCTATCTATCTATCTATCTATCTATCTATCTATCTATCTATCTATCTATCTATCTATCTGTCTGCATATCTATCTATCTATCGTCTGTCTGTCTGTCTGTCTATCAATCTATCTATCTATCTTCATCTGACTCCAAAATTCTGAATGGTAGTGTATGTATATAAATCTATTAATCTATATTATTGCACCATGATGGACACAGGTTTGTGTGAGAACAGCAGTCATTCATATCATTAACAGCAAACACTGTTTCACACACAAACCTTTACTGTCAAGGACCGAAGAGGTTAGTACAAACACACAATAAGTCTTCTACACACTACATTACAAAATAAAATAAATTAAAGGAAATAAATCAAAATAAGGTGCACCACTTGGATTTCTTAAAATTCTATTAGCATTTACTTGGCATTGTTACTCTTTGTGAAAGTACTATTAAAATAAAACTATCTATTTTTACTAAGACAGGTTAAGTCATGCGCATGTCAAATTTTTATTTTACATATTTAATATAATACATTTAAAATCATTAGTTACACTACAACATTGCAACCTTAGTTCTATTGCACAAACCTGACTTCATTAATAAAGGTTCACTTAAATAGTGCAAAAAGCTCTTTACAGGAATGTGCTACAAACAGTAAACAAACCAACAGTATTTACAGTAAATGGCCAACATGTGATCCTGTAGAAGAAACAAAAGAAAAAAAAAATCTATACAAAAATACAATTAAAACAAATACACAACCTATAAAAAATTGCCATAGACAACAGTATATGTTCTCCATCAGGAGAAACAGGCCAAATTCTTCAGAAGGCCTTTCTTTCACTTTTTTATCTTTTCACACACACAAAAACAAAACAAAAATGATATCAACAAAAAACAAAGAAACAATAAAAACAGGGTGTTAGGAACTGAAATAAGCGTCCAGACGTGTCCATTTCCACACTGATGTAAGATTCTTCACAAATCCTCCGTCTACAAAACAATAACGATGTGGCTTTGCTATAGTCCTTTCAGAATTTATCTGCCTTGGTTTTTAACTTTTAGAGCCCCCCCCCAAAAAAAAACCTCAAGGGGAAAATCAAAACTTCCTGTGCAAAAGGGTCCAAAACATCCGGGTTAGTTCCAACAGAATGGGGTGGGGGGTGTTCAAAAACAGGCGTGCAGTCTTACACAATCCAATCAGAGCTCCAGTTAGTGTTGATTGACACTTACTTGATGTTTGAGTCTGCAGTAGTGTCTATGAGGGGTTTAGCGAGGGGGCCCAGGATGTGTCCCGGCACCCAGCCCTCCGCGGCCGGCGACTGGCTGTTAGCGGATCGGTACACCAGGTACATGTTCTGCTGGTTAGTGGCCAGTATCTGCACCGTCTCACCCTGCATGACGCAGATCTCATTTTCTTTCAGTGCATTATAGTCCTGAGTCACCATCAAGGAGGACGACGTACCGTTACAGCCCACACCGCCAAACTGCTGTAGGAAACACACACCGCATAATACACACACACAGAGACAAAAAATAAATGCATGGTTAAAATAATTAATATGTCAACCAGACCTTAAACGTCAGAAGTCAAGAAGACATTAACACCTTTACATAGTGTGTCTAGCATATGGAGTTATGTAATGCACAGCATATGCTACATTTTTAGATGCACTTTATTTTACAGTACATGCAATTACAGTGTACTTACCTAAGAAAGTACTGGGTAATATAAGGTAACAACATTTTAAGATTTTATAGTCTATTTTGAATTAAATTTGGGTGAATTCGCCATTTAATGTGTGGTCACATTTACCGTTGGTCTGCAAAATTACATGCAAAGGAATTTTGGGGACATTTGGATGAGGGCAAAACAAAAAAAAGACCTCTATGTGAGCATCACTACATTATTGACAATAGACATTGGAGTTTTTACACTAAATTTCACAAATGTTCATACCCTTTACTCAAAATCCAGTGAAAAGACAGAAGGCTCTGGTTACGTATGCAGGACTTCTCCAATCATTTAGTCTGCATAAATCCACCCCTTCCAGATCACGTTCATCCATATTTGAGTGCCAAGCCCACATCTCAACATCCAATCAACACCTGATGCTTAGAACCAAGTCCCCCACCTTGCATTTTTTTATTTTTTGAAAATCTCTCGGATGTGTCAAAATACAGAAGAAAAGACAAGATTTGCTTTTTGACAGCACTTGGGTGCTAATGGGAATGAGCAAAATGGAGGCTTGTTTCAGAGGACTTGTTTCAAGAATCCAGTTAGGTAAGCTGTCAAAATGGGTCAACGGTCTGTAACTGTTCCTCAGCATTATTTTGCAATATGGTCATGTGACTATCTATAGGTGGGGTAGTGGCTCTTGTGTAGTCTATGAATTAACTGCCATCTGAAAATCACAGATGAATCATGCAAATGTACAGACACCACCCTGAGAAAAACAACATCATGAACATCAAAGTATGGATTTGATATCTTAATTGCAACCGATTCAGGTGACTATGATTTTAATTCGGTTAGACCTGACTGCTGTCTTCGATACTATTGACCATCAGTTCCTCCTGTCTAGATTAGAATGTTTTGTGGGGCTAAAAGCCTCAGTCCTGAATTGGTTTAAATCTTATTTAACAGAGCAATATTTCTCAGTCAGAATTGGCAACTTTACTTCCTCTGCTGCCCACCTCGAATCTGGTCTTCCCCAGGGATCTATTCTAGCACCTCTGCTCTTCTCGCTCTACATGGGTGTTCTTTTGGATAATCGGCTCACTCTAGATAAACATGTTTCCCAAAACCTACTTATGGTTCCTTGCACAAGGTTGAAATGCAGAGGAGATAGAGCATTTTCGGTGATGGGCCCTAGATTGTGGAATAGCCTGCCAGCGCACCTCAGAGCTGCTCCATCTTTATCGGTTTTTATAAGTTGATGATGTTTGAATGTGTTACTTTTTGATCATTTTGTTGCACAGCACTTTGGTCAGTCTTGTGACTGTTTTTAAATGTGCTTTATAAATAAAAGAACTAGAACTAGAGCTAGATTTCTATGAGCCACCATAAACTCTAGCATGCAGATGTTTAGTGTTAGCAGAGATGCTGTGTTCTCACCCTGTGGTATCTGTCCGAGCCGTGGCATGGACCACCGTTGGAGGTAGTTAGCTTTATTGGAGTGGAGCTCCGTCCAGACAGAGTGGGTTTCTCTGCCCCGAGTGACACAGTGGAGCTGGGCCTGCTGTTGGCCTGACCCATTCGCCCACCGCTGGAGGAGTTTCGGGTCAGAGACTGAGAGCCGCTGCGCTCCTTCTGATACTCGATGGGAGACTGCAGAGCTGTAGACAGATGCACCAATGGTTTCAATGGCTCAACAGAAGGAGAGTTGATTATATTCATATCGACGTGACGGCTTACCTGACAAGAAGTTGCTCTGCAAGTCTAGTAGCTCGGTGATATGCTGAACCCAGACCTGTTTAATGTCCGTATTTGCTGCTTGCAGGGTGAAACGTTCGGCTGACCCACGACACGACAGCACAAACTTGCATGGATCGTTTTCAACATGCTCTTCTAGGCTGAGCAAGCTCACCTGCACACACAAGTCAGTATCACACCTGGTTTCAGCCGTCTAGTAGCCAGGGTTGTGATTTTCACAACTCCCAAAAAGCAAAGCCCAAAGTGTGCTTCAGTTTCTATGCGAACACTTAGTGTATGCGTACAGCCAAACACAGACTTTTTTGACACAGACACACTGCTTTGTGAGCTTTGAAACCTTTGCGAATCATTTGTTTCAAACCAGTGATTCTGAGCATGTATCAAACTGCCAAAGTAAGCGATTTGTTAAGTCAGAACTTAATATTTCGAAATTTCAATGGTTCACCACTAGGGGTAGATCTCTGTGAATCCATGAACTAGTGTCTATATGGTTTTTACCTGATTTTGGAACGGTTTTATACATATGTAGACATTTTTAATGACACATTTGTGTAATAAAAATGAAGGGTTGTTGTTCATAGTCTCTTATTGGCCCGATTAACCATGCTCTCCATAAAATAAATCCTACAATATAATAAACTAACATATCATACAGACGCTTAATATTTAATGGTATTAGATGATTTATTAATTGCATTTAATAGATTTCACTATTAATAAAACATTTGCAATATTTTGTAAATGGTGTTTTTATGCATGTTTGGGCTGCATTTTCATTGCATTTACAGGCATCACCAGCAGGTGGAATTAACACACACACACACACACACTCATACACACACTTTGGGCTTAAACCTACATGCTTCATGAGTAACGGTGGTGTGGTTACCTTGATGCTCTTTTTAAACTGGTATCCTGGCGTGGATGAGCCTTTGCGTAAGAGCTCGCTGAAGATAACGATCTGTTCAAACAGGAAGACCCTGCGCTCCTTACTGCGGGACAGAACGCCAGAGTCCTGCTCCGTCACAAAGAACGTCTCCTGCTGCAAGAGCTTTCCCTGACTCGTCAACTTCCCCTGAAGCACACAAACATACAAACTCATCAGTCTGAGATAGTGAAAGTGTCCGTGAACTCAACTGCTCTGATATATTCAAGTGAACATTAACAGATGCCACAAATCGTGGAGAACTCTTGATTCGGGTTAAAATGCTAAATTTAAGGATACGATTAAAGAGAGTTGACCCAAAAAGTTTAATTCGGTCCTTTTCACTCTCATGTTGTTCCAAACTCATAAGACATTTGTTCTTTTAAACACAAATTAAGTTTTTTTTTTCATGTAACCTGAGAGATTTCTGTCCCTCCATTAAACGTTCATTCCACTAAAACTTTCGAGCTTTAAAGGAGTCAACGGATGCCCATTTTCCACAAGTTGATATGATTCTTTAGGGTCTTAATGAAAAGTCTATAAACATACTTTGGTTAAAATTTATCAATGGTAGTGTAAAAAAACACCCTTTTTACCCTGTCAAAATCAGCTCTGTTTTCAGCAAGCTGTTTTTTAGTCCATGTTACTTTAAATGCTAATGAGCTCTGCTGACCCTGCCCCTCTCTTCCGTGGGGTGACGAGCAGACTGTTTAACTTCAGCCGCGAAACTGGCTAACTAGCACATTATTAGGAAAGGCGATTTGCAAAGATTCATAAAAACCCTTACACTCACTTCTTCTGTAGATGAAGCTGGATCACGAATGATTCACGCGAACATAGACGCATTTAGGCAGATTGAGGATCGGCGCATTCCCTTCAAAAATTAAAGTAACGTTAATCCTCTGCGTCTTCAGTAAATGACGACTGCTTTATTCATTATTACATCCAGCAACAAAACACCTCAATTGCTTAATCGGAGACATTCTTGTCTTCTCCCGCACCAGAGTCGACACAATGGCGGACTGATAACAGCTCACTCAGGGCGGGTCTAAGGTAAGACGGCCTTGTCAATCAACTATCGTGGGAGGGGCCTGTGCAGAACTACGTCATTCTGACAGGTATCTCAGAACAGCCTGATTTGAGAAAGGGGATTTTAAAACAGGGATTTAAAAAAAAAAATCACTGGGTGGATTTTTCTCATTATAGGATGGATGTTTACACGCACTTCCAACACACATTTATGTTCAAACAACTTGTAAAGTGAATTTTGCATCCGATGACCCCTTTAAGAAGTTCATAAAGAGATCCATATGAATCAAACGGTTTAATCCAACTCTTCTAAAGGGAAAATATTACTTTATATGATTAACAGATTCAGATTTAGGTTTGTATTCACATATAATCATCGATCAATGCACACACACACACACACACACACACACACACACACATATA